TGATTAGCCACTAGGCTAGATCAGAACACAGAATATAAAACAAGACATTAAGAAGACCATATATTAAAAATAGGATAAGAGAAACAACTTAAAATTAAAAAAGAAAAAAAAGATGCAAATAAAGGGCTATATTATATGTAATTTTTGAATTCTGACCACACATGAAATATGTTGTTTTAATATAAGGGTCCCAATGAGTCATTCGCCTAATGTGCGGTCCAAGATATTGATCCCTCTCTTTTTTATACAATTCACATTCACAAAATATATGTGTTATGTCTTCTATCACCCAGATAAGCAAAGGTTACCACCAGGCACACAATCAAGCAGCAAACATGCCAATCAAAGAGCTACCAGAGGAGCAAAACAAAAAAAACGAAAAAAAACCCACCCTCACCAGCATTGGCAAGGCAGGCCACAGCACATAAATAGAGAGCAAACCCCATCCCATTTTAGCACTGAAGATGTTTCCTAGCCGGGTAACGAAACGTTTGCAAGAAAAGAACCAAGCTCAGAGAACCCCAAGGACTCCAAAGAACAAATTGTATGAATTCCCAATTCGGCTCTAATTGCAGCAGCAGCAGTTCTTTTATCCACACGCAAGATACTTCTCAGATGCTATGACTGCATTTGTTCTAATAGTAATATGTGTTTTAAGCCCCAGACTTCAGTGCCACATAAGAGCATAGGAGTAACCTTGGCCTTGTATACTTTGATAATTGAGGCTAAGGAGCCTGGATAGCTATGATTTATTAATTTGAGCAGTCAGTTCATATGTGCCCTAGCTCTCAGTGAGCTCCTTTGATGATGAGGAAGCCAAGATCCGGTCTCAGAGAAGCCTACCCCAGATAAGAAAAGGTATTAACTTGCTCTATTGTCTCACCATCTAATAGCATCTATGGTTATGATGTCATTTTCCAAAGACCATAATTTTTTACTTTGATTTATTAATGATTAGAAAATTATTATGACAGTAGGAGCCAAGTCTTCTTAACAGCCTACACAACCCGACTTGCAAATATGATAGTAAAATCATATTGTTGCTGTACAGCAAGATGTACAATATGTGTTTAACGCCTTGGGCGTATGTACTTCAGGATCCTTCATTAGTCCTGGTAAGTTGTTAATGTATAGGCTAAATAACAATGGTGCAAATATGCACCCTTGTCTTATCCCTTTGTAAGTATCAATCCTTCTTCTCATGGCTCCATTAATCTCAAACTGCACTCTCAAACTAATGCTTGTATAAAGGGCTTTGATCAATGCCAGCATTCTGGGTTCCATTTTGAGGGCAATTTCCTCCATAATATTTCTCTATTTACTGTGTCAAATGCTGCACTAAGATCTATAAAGGCAGGAAACAGTTGTTTCCCCTTACTGAAATATTTTGTAATTGGATGGTTCAAGACAAAGAAGTTATCAATAGTGGATCGACTCTGTTTAAAGCTGGCTTGTTCTTCCATGAGAATACATTTTTCATCTACCCAACTCTCGACTCTGCTCAAGAGGAACCTAGCATATATTTTAGCCACAATATCTATTAGATTAATGGGCCTGTAATTGCTAGGATCCTTTTTATTCCCTTTTTTGTATATAGGAACTACTATTACCATCCTCTACCCAGCTGGGATATGGCAAGTATTATTTATATGTGTACATAAATCTGCCAATAGAGGGCCCCACCAGTTGGGATATTTTTTGAATAGCTCAGCTGGTAGAAAGTCTTCCCCAGGGGCTTTATTGCTCTTCAAGCCTTTTATGATAGATTTGATCTCTTTTTCTAATACTGGTGGCCAAAGGGTGAGGCTTCACTCTGCAACACTCTAGAATCATAAGCTGCAGGAATATCTTGTCTTTAGGACGTATTCTGCAGCAAAACTGCAGAAACAGTCTGAGTCCCTGTAGCCTTTCAGATGCAAAATAGTTTAGTAGAATAAGGTTGGTGCTCAGAGAGCAGATTTTTGCAAATCACAATAGCTGACTCTTGCTTTGGACACCATTTATATTCTACTCTCCCCCGCCGCCCATATTCTCCTCAGATGTCAAGACAGTGGGACAAAATATGAGATGTTGTTACGATTGAAATTGTCCCCTAGAATTGTGCCTAATTTGTTTTGGTTCTTGTGTAATGCCATCTTAGACAGTATTTTTCTTAGTGCAGTATTTACCACCCACCTTTTACTTCTAAATATTTAACTGTTTGCTTTGCTGAACTTCTTGTTTTCATATTGACTTTAAAGTTGCTATCTGCAATTTTCAGTAACACCTCCAGGATGCACTGTTTGACTTTCAGTTTCCACATAAATCCTCAGGTCATTAGTAAGAAATGCAGATACATAAAGGGTACGGTATGAGATTTGGCTAACTCCATATTTTGGAGTTAAACCATTCAACTTCCTATAGTTGGTGTATTAAACTATTTTTCTCTCTTCCTTGACTTCTGCTTTTCACCTGTTTGGCCATTTCAGATTTTTTACATGGCTTTTTATGTTTTCATTCTTAATAATTTCAATTTTTATATTTGCTTATGTACTAAGTGGTAAAATGATGGATATAATAAGTGTACAGCAGCCTGGCCATGATAAAGAAGCTAAAGATGGCAGAAGAAACCAGTAAGAGAGAACTGAAGTATGGCTTAAATTGGGCTTCTGGGGGAGAATTATGGTGGGCTGACTTTCTCTGAAGGAGTGGAGAGATATCGTATCTGAGAACGTTGGCTAGAAGGCAGATCCTGGCTAGCATAATCTCCCTGGATCAAAGGGAGATTTTGAGATTAACCACTTGTACTTATTTTACAAGTGAACTGCAGAAATTGAAGTTTTTGGAGTCAGCTTGGGAGTTGAGCTGCTGGGAGTCCCAGGGTTCCAGCTACACTCATAACTGCGGTGGAGCCTGTACGGACATTAAGCCCTGCCTTTGTGATGGAATGGTTTGGTGAAGGCCACGCTTGGAGAGATAAGCATTTCCTTAGCCCCCAGCAGGAGTGTGGGAAGGTTAAGAGGATGAGACTGGC